ATTTGGGGGCATTTAGGGCCATTTTGGGGTATTTGGGGCAGTTTAAGAGGATTTTGGGCCATTTTGGGGCTGTTTTGAGGGGATTTTGGGGCTGTTTTAGGGCCATCAGGACAATCTAGGTTCATTTTGGGGCACTTTGGAGGGGATTTCGGGACATTTTGGGGCCATTTACAAGGATTTTAGGACATTTTGGGGCAGTTTTTAGTCTTGAGAACAATTTAGGTCAATTTTGGGGCATTTTAGGGCCATTTTGGGCCATTTTGGGGTGGTTTTAGCGACCGTGAGAAGAATTTTGGGATATTTTGGGTCGTTTTAGGATCATTTTGGAGCATTTTGGGGCAGTTTTAGGGTCTTGATGATAATTTAGGGCCATTTTGGGGCCGTTTTGGGGTATTTGGGGCAATTTAAAAGGATTTTGGGCCATTTTGGGGCTGTTTTAGGGGTTTGAGGACAATTTGGGGCCATTTCAGAGAATTTTGGGGTATTTGGGGCCATTTTGGGGCAGTTTTGAGGGGATTTTGGGCCGTTTTGGGGCAGTTTTTGGTTTTGAGGACAATTTCGAGATGTTTTGGTCAATTTTGGGGCCGTTTTGGGGTTTTTAAGGGGTTTATGGGGGATCTGACACTTTTTGGGGTGGTTTTGGGTTAATTTGGGGCACTTCAAGGCCATTTTGGGGCTGTTTAGGAGGATTTAAGGCCAATTTGGGGATTTTTTGGAGGGATTTTTGGGAAAAATGGGATTTTCTGGGAAAAAAAGGGATTTTTTGGGAAAAAATCAGGAATATTTGGGAAAAATAGGGGTTTTTCTGGGAAAAATGGGATTTTTTGGGGAAAAAAAATGGGGGTTTGGGAAAATTGGGGGTTTTGGGAAATACAGTGATATTTTTAGGGAAAAAATAGGAATTTCTGGGAAAAAATGGGATTTTTTGGGAAAAAAATCGGATTTTTTGGGGAAAAAATGGGATTTTATTTGAAAAATGGGATTTTCTTGGGAAAATGGGACTTTTTGGGGTAAAAAAACAGGAATTTGTGTTAAAAAATTGGGAATTTGGGGAAAAACCCAAGATTTTGCAGCCGGGGGGGCAGCCCCTCCCTCCCCTCCCCCCCTTCCCCTCCCCCCAATTCCCAAATTTCCACTCATTTTCGTCCCCCCCAATTTAAATCCATTTATTTCTCAATTTAAATTAATTTTATCCCCATTTAAATTTTTTTTTTCCCAATTTAAATTCACTTTTCCCCAATTTTAAGTTTTTTCCCCCCAATTTAAATTCATTTTTTCCCCAATTTAAATTAATTTTCCAAAAATTTAAATTCATTTTCCTAAAATTTAAATTCATCTTTTCCCAATTTAAATTAATTTTTCCCCAATTTAAATTCATTTTTTCTTAATTTTTCATTTTCCCCAATTTAAATTTATTTTTCCCCAATTTTAAGTTTCTTTCTCCACTTAAATTTATTTTTTTCCAAAATAAATTAGATTTAATTTTCTGTCAGTTTGATTTTCCCATTTAAATTCATTTTCCTCAATTTAAAGTCAATTTTCCCCAATTTAAATTAATTTCCCCCAATTTAAATTAATTTTTCCCAAATTAAATTAATTTTTTCTTCCCATTTAATTTTTTTCAATTGAAATTTTTTTTCTAATTTAAATCAAATTTATTTCAAATTTAAATTCACTTTTTTCCAAATTTTAATTCACTTTTCCCCCCATTTAATTTCTCCCAATTTTAATTTTTTAAAAATATTTTCCCTCATTTAAATGAATTTTTCCCCAATTTGAATCCAATTTTCTCTGAAATTTCAATTTATTTTCTGTTATTTTCCCCCAATTTAAACTCATTTTCCCCCCAATTTAAATTAAATTTTTCCTCCAATTTTAATTAATTTTTCCCCAAATTTTAATTAAATTTTTCCCAATTTTTATTAATTAAATCCCCCTCATTTTCTCCATTCTAATTCCTTTATAATTTACTGTTTTTCTGTTTTCTGTCATTTTTTTTTATTTTCTCCCAATTTTTTTATTTTCTCCCATGTTTTTTTATTTTTTTACTTTTTTTATTTTT